AAATCACGAATTTCAAACGAAACCACACAAAATCTCCAAAGTTCTCAATTAATTAAATACATTTTTTTTTAAATCAGGTTTCGGTGAACATTTGGTTCACTGGTTTGCTAGTAAGTATTAATTCATACTTCTTTAGCATCATTAAAAATATTTTTAATTGCATGCAAATAATTAATTATTACAATAAAATAATAAAAGGACTGGAAAAGGATAGTTAACACAGTCAATTAAGTTCAGTTTTAATTTGAAAAATTAAATAAATATTCAAAATATTCAATTAAAATCACTACTGAATTTAAGTTATTAGTCCATATGTAATTAGCACTTGTAAGTAACTAAAACACGTTGTGTCTATATAGAAACTAGAAACATGTGGATAAATATTATAAATATGAAAACAGTGATCAGAGGCGACGAGCGTGCCAACATTGTTTTTGACAACGCGATCATCATAAGGAGCTCCGTGGATCGTTCAAAGTACCTTTCGAACAGATGTCTAATAATGGTGGTTAATAATCCACCATTATTAGACACTAACATTCATAACGCGCCCGCGGCCAACTTCATGGTGTTACTATTGTGTTACAGTGATGCGCGCGCATCTTAAAATTTCACTCATCATTTTTTCATAACGCGCCTAAAGAAGTATAACTTCAAAAAACTGACCGGCAATGCTCTATGGCTCTGAGTGTTGGGCTTCATTAAGGAAACACGAAGAACAACTACACACAGCGGAGATGAATATGTTCCGCTGGGCAGGGGGAGTGACTCGCTTGGATAGGGTGCGAACCGAATTCGAGAGAGGTTCCTTTAGGATGGCTCCTGTAACTGAGAAACTGAAAGAGGGCAGGCCCAGATGGTACGGTCATGTGATGAGGCGAGAAAAAGAGTCATCATCATCATCATCATCAGCCTATTAATGTCCCCACTGCTGGGGCACAGGCCTTTCCTATTGGTGAAGAAGCATCATTCACATCTGGCGTTCCATTTCCTTACCATAAACGGGCATTCACATGCGAGTAAAAAACGCAGCGACAAACGCAACGACATCATTCATAGTTGTCTTATAACTGTTCTTCCGTGTATCACAATATCGGCGTAGTTTTTAATTATCATCATCATCATCATCAGCCTATAAATGTCCCCACTGCTGGGGCACAGGCCTTCCCTATGGATGGAATAGGGAGATTGGACCATGACCCACCACGCGGGCCCATTGCGGATTGGCGGATGCTAACGACTGCAGATGCAGCCGGGACCAACGGCTTAACGTGCCTTCCGAAGCACGGAGGAACTCGATATAGTAAATTTTTGGTCACCCATCCAATGACCGACCACTGCGAAAGTTGCTTAACTTCAGCGATCGCAGCCGAACGCGCTAACCACTTGCGCCATCGAGCTCCTCAAAGAAAATGACTACTCCGTGAAAACTGTGCTCAACATCAACACTATACAAAGAACTAGGGGCAGACCACCAGCCTCTTAGAAGTCCACAGTGGAAAGAGATTTAAAATCCCAAAAACTATCACCGATGACAACCCGAGACAGAATAGCCTAGCGCAAATGCATAAGAAATTCAAAAAAAATCTAAATTCAATATCGTTTATTCAGTCTAGACTGTTACAAGCACTTGTGAATGTCGAAAAGCTACGCCATCGGTTCGCAAATCTACGGCGGGAGACCTTGTACTGAGAAGAACCGGCAAGAAACTCAGCAAGGGCTGTTTGTTTCTCCCTGTATTATATACAGAGTCGTCAAATTGAAAAATGACTTCAATATGAGGTAACTCATAAAGTCACTTTCCATTACAAATGCTAATATAATAAAAATTATGACTATATAAAAAACTGGTTTAACAAAGTTTAGGAATGCCGTGTCCTGCTTTTTAGGCAAAAAAAAATGAAGGCTAGGATAAGAAGGCCCGACCCCAAATGAAGAAGGTGTAAGGGCAGGAAGAAGAAGATTCAGTTAAAATAGCAGTGCCGTTTTATTCTGCGGCTCCGTAAATTTGCAATTTGCTGACGAAATGTCCAGCATCTTTAGTCTGTTGGCTCTGATAAAGACCTCTTGGGATTAGGTTATGCGACCTGTACCATTTTAGCCTCGATACCGAGTGGCCGAGTGGTTTGTACGCCGGGTTTCATGGCGTCGCCGACTCGAGAGGTCCCGGGTTAGAATCCCGGTGGGGGCAGATGTTTGTGTGATGAACAGGAGCATTTGTACTCCAGTCATGGATGTTTACTATGTATTTCTATATAAATATACTTATATATGTACAATATATGTATTCTATCCGTTACCCTAGTATCCCATAACACAAGCCTTACAGTGCTTACTTTGGGACTAGGCTAATTGGTGTGAGTGTTGGTAATATTTATTTTTTTATACTTTTCTCCATACAACTCTGCTCAATTCTGTACCTCAAGTATTATCTTGCATTTATGTGAAGAAAAATACGTCGAATTCATCAAAAATATAAAAGGACAATATTATCCACTTGTACCACATAAAATTGTTGGTGATTTCAAAAATACACACATCAAAAGTGTCTAGGGATCAAGCATTTTTATGCGGATTTCTTGAGATTGAGATGTGGCTTTGTAATAAATTTATGATTTTATAAATTTATATGGATCCTTTTTGGTGCATTTCATAATTTGAATCAGGAACTGTGAATCAAATTCGAGTAAAAGATGAAAATCAGCTGTCAATATTTTCCCTATAAAAACATACAACGCATTGAAGACATTATTAGTGCTACTGTTTCCCTACTACTGATTAAAACCAACGTTATTATGGAGCGGCGACGTCATTTAAGCAGGGAAGAAATGCTCAGAGCCGTGGGAATGATAGAAGCTGGTTCCCGGCAACGTACTGTGGCTTTAGCTCTGAATACAAGTCAGAGTGTTATCAGTCGACTTTGGACACGATACCGAAGCACTGGTACCGTGGCTGAGCGCCATGGAGGACGGTATCGCTGCACCACACGGAGACAAGACCGATACATTCAAATCTTAACTCGAAGAGCTCCAACAATAACCGCCATGATGTTAGCCGTGAGGCTTCATCACTCTTCAGGGAACTTAATTAGCGACCAAACAGTCAGAAACCGCTTGCATGAAGTGAACCTTCATTCCCGAAGACCGCTACGGGTACCACCTATAGCAATGCACAATCGTAGGATTCGATATCAATGGGCTCTTGAACACAGAAATTGGGCAGAAGAACAATGGCGTTTCGTGTGCTTTTCTGATGAGTCTCGTTTTGGTATGAGACCGGATACAAGACGTATACGACACTGGAGAACCCCTGGACGCCAACAGCGATTAAAATCCTGCCAGGAAGTCCATCCTTATAGTGGTGGAACCATCATGGTATGGGCGGGTATTTGGATCGCCGGAAGAACTGAGTTGATTTGGATCAGAGGCAACCTCAACGCTCAAATTTATGCTGAGACGATTGTATCAGACGTCATCGTTCCTCTACAAGTGCAAATCGGTCCCTTATTTCAGTTAATGCATGATAATGCACGACCGCACACCGCAAGAGTTGTAAGACAGACTCTCGCCGCAGCTAACATCAATGTCCTGCCCTGGCCTGCTCAGTCGCCAGACTTGAACCCGATTGAGCATGCATGGGATATGCTACAGAGAAGAGCTCTGCCGAATATGGAGGGTATCCAGTCGCAAGAAGACCTTTTTTTGTTGTTGCAACGAACATGGGCGGCCATTCCACAGCGTGATTTGGATGAACTCATTTTGAGTATGCCAAACCGATGTTCTTGTGTTGTTAGTGTTCGCGGTAGAAATACGGATTATTAATTGTTTAAGTTACCCAATAAAATTTTAGAGAAAACTGTTATTTCAGTCTTTTTTTCGAACTTTTGTGTTAGTGGTTCAAATGTCAAAAATCCCTTTATTAGGAAAATGGCAAATTTCTTTATTAATGCAAAGGTGACTTGGTTTATCGTTACTGTGACAAACGAAAACACTTTATTTGATGAATCCTTAAAGAAAATTTTAATTAATATCAATCAGGAGAAGAGTTATTGCAAAAATATATGTTGATCCCTAGACACTTTTGATGTGTGTAGTTGATTTATAAATTGATTGATCTCAAAAGTGTTCTGTTTATTTTAATCGCATCATGAAACGCTATTTCTTCAGGTATAAGTTTGATCGTTGTAAGTTTAAGACTTTTTGCGAATATCAAATCATAGTTCCGAGCTTAGATTAAAACAAAAAGGGTAGATACGGTACGCTCATACTTGCATCGAACAAAAACTGATCCCACGGCAGCGCGAACGGGACGGCGAGATCCGCGTCACTGCATTACCGACCCGAACGAAACAGCACGTTAAGTTTCAACGGCAGCGCGAACGAGACGGCGTGATCCGCGACACTGCACTACCGACCAATCACGCGACCAGTACTCGACGTCACTACCGAATAAGATTCAAAACAAACAGCAATTTTTATGAAAAAATATATTTTATAGTACTTACGAATGAAAAGTAATGCCGTGGGTTTTATTTTTAGTTCTTGAGCAATTTGAGCTCTTTTTAAAAACACACTCAGGCATTGTTTTATCATATAAACACAAAATATTAGCAATATTTCTTTATCGCGTTCACATGTACGTCGATTGCATGTCAAGTTGTGACTAAAGCGATTAGGGTCTTGGGCCACAATACATTCGGATCACTTTTGTGAGGCTAGTGCCGTATCTACCATTTTTGTTTTAATCTAAGGTTCCGAGGTAGCAAGTGGGCCTGGTTTATTTTCTGTCCAAGGAGAGCCAATTGGAAAGCATTATCATAATAATTGTAATTATCGCTAACAATAAACATTATATCGAAAAGCAATGATAAGATTACTTCTACAGAATAACGCTGATATCAGTCGTGGTATTTTCATTTGAGGCGCAGTATCGATAAAGCAAAAACCTGCAACAGTTTCATTTATTAGTGCAACGGATATATTTTTAATTCTGCTTTGAAAATGAGTAGACATCCGCCGAATAGTCATTCATCTGGGAAAAAGCCACCGCCGTATTACGCCAATTCATATTGGTGTCCGCAACCATCGCGACTTCCTCTGCATCCCCCCCCGTATTCCGCAGCTAAGCCTCACCACCACTCTCATACCACGGCGTATCCTTACTATATGACAGGCACTGTCATGGTCCCAGTACCCCTGGGGAATAATCCTCCCCATGCCGATCCTTCTGCACAGCCCACTTACGTCACCAACTACATCTACAGTGGAGAATCAGCCAGCGGAAGCCAAGTCAAGGTAGTACAATCATCAGAAGATTTCGATTGGATCTCAACGACAGCAGCGACCGCTCACAAGTTGAATGGAAAAGCCGTCCTTGGAGGAAACGAAGTTCAGTCTTCAAATGCTCTCTGGGTGATAAGGTCGTGGTATTGCGGTGATCTGATCCCTGGGAAGCTATCAGTGAAATCGAATAACGCTTCAGTGCCTTACGGCGGGAAAGAGATCACCGTGCACAATTTCGAGGTACTGTGCGCGAAGCCCGAAAACTTGAAATGGGTGGGAGCATCGGAAGGGAATGTACCTCCTGGAGCAATAGTGGGTGGTCACACAGCGAACGGTGAAACATTGTACGTGGGTAGAGCGACGTACGCAGGTGGATTTCGAAATTATAATATACCGGGTAAAGTGCACCAAAGCCATCAATGCTGTTACATTGGAGTTGCAGGGAAAGAGGTCTCCAAAACTACGTATGAAGTTTTGACAAGGATTTAGGTGACCTTGTGATAGTGTCGTGTTGTTGATAATCGCCCGCAAATATTTAACGGCAGTCACGAAACTAATTTATTATATCGTGATCCATTTATTTTCAGATAGGTTAAAGATAAAATCAAATTCATGTTCTAAACAAGCAAGAAACTGATGCTGGCGAATGGTAGCGAAGGCATCAGATTTCGCTACCATTCGCCAGCAGAATCGCTACCATCAGGTAGCGATTCTGCTCATTGCAACAATTGTAAAACGTTGTAAATAATAATCGTAATTCAGAGTTATAACCAATCATAAATATGATTTGTATCTTACATAATGGCATAAATTTAATCATAATAAAATTTAAGTATAAGTTGTTGTTATTATTCACTTCCTGGCACTTTAGGATGACACTTATTTTTGATTAATTTGGGAATGTTTTATTTAATTTATTTTGTAAGCTCGTGAAGATAGCTGGTACAGCAGTTATAAACTGCCACACCAATCCTCCTCATCTTGCCGGCCTGCAAAAATGCTTCTTCACGCCTCTCTTGAAGGATCCCAGAATTTAGGAAGGAGGGAACACGTGCGCGGGTAAAGAATTCCACTTACGAACAGTACGACAAAGAAATGAGTCACCAAATTTCTTTGTTCGTGTAGGAAGAGTGGCCTACTAAGAATGGTTGGTAAAAATATGTAACTAGATAGGACGGACGTAAAAGGAAATATTTTTGTTATGTATATGTAGGTACTTTATTAAAGATGAAATCTATATATATAAAAATGAAACCCGTTTTCCGTTGTCACGACATAACATGAAAACGGCTTGACCGATTTGGCTGATTTTTTTTTGTAGTTTTCTAATACTCTGTACAAGGTTCTTACGGAAAAAAATATAAAGAAAAATAAAAAAAAATAATAGGTACTCATACATAAGATAGGTCAGCTATACAAAGTAAAGTAGTGCATCAAAGCTACGCTAAGGCGGTACGAAGTTCGCCGGGTCAGCTAGTAGTACATCTTTATATATATAATTCTTCTGTGAGTGTGTATGTCACTGAACTTCTCTTAAACGACTGGACCGATTTTGATGAAATTTTTTGTGTGTGAAAGGGGATCTGAGAATGGTTTAGATTCACAATTTTGTCCGCTGGACAACCCCTATTTTTTTAGGGCGGTACGAAGTTCGCTGGGTCAGCTAGTAAAAATATAAAAAATTAGTTAAGTAGATCTAGTATACCCAAGTAAATTTGTTGTGTAGCTCAATGGCGCGGGTGGTTTTTGCGTTCGGCTGCGATCGTTGAAGTCAAGCAACTTTCCCAGTCGGTCGGTCATTAGATGGGTGCCCAAAAATCTTCTATCTCGAGTTCCTCCGTGCTACGGAAGGCACATTAAGCCGTTGGTCCCAGCTGCATCTGCAGTCGTTGGCACCTGCCAATCCGCACTATGCCCGCGTTGTGGGTCATGACCCACAATGTAACCACAATGGCCCAATCTCTTTATTCCATCAATAGGGAAGGCCTGTGCCCCAGCAGTGGGGACATTGATAGCAAGGGCGGATCCAGCTTTGGCGCCAGGGGGGGGGGTCATATAGAAAGCTTTGGCTCCAGGGGGGGGTCATATAGTCGTGGTATATTAAATATTGAAAGTACTTATATAAAATCCCCCTGGGTTTGGTCCATCTGTACCCAGCCCAGGGGGGGGGGGGGGTCATGACCCCCATGACCCCCCCCCCTGGATCCGCCCTTGATTAATAGGCTGATGATGATGAAATTGAATAAAATATCCGCAACTAAAGCGAGCAGACTTAACGTAGTTTTTACTCGTTTTGGAAGGTATTGTACCGGTTCAACACTCACAAAATATGTTGTTTTCACTCTAATATCAATCAATCAATCATTTATTTATTTTTCTCTCACATGAAAATAAAGTTCTTATAGTATACCACTTGTGGTTTACAATATGTTATAGTATTGTGAGAGACTGGTGCCTGAATTAGGTTTCAGTGAAACCTGTGACACAGGTCACCAGGACCCTTCCGCTGACTACATCTATACTTATAATAAATCTGTAGAGATGTCAATTCTGTACATGAAATATATTTTTAAAATAACTATCAGGGGGTGATTAGTGATCGATACTGATGCCAAAAATGCAATCACTAAAATTTTTGTCTGTCTGTCTGTCTGTGTGTATGTTCCTTATAGAAACAAAAACTACTCGACGGATTTTAACGAAACTTGGTACAATTATTCCTCATACTCCTGGGCAGGTTATATTATACTTTTCATCACGCTACAATCAATAAGAGCAGAGTAGTGAAGGGAAATGTTGGGAAAACGGGAGAAGTTACTCCATATTTTAAGCTTCCGTCGCGTGTGCAGCCTTAATGATTAAAGTTACATAGAAATCATGTATGACGGAAATATTCTACATAAAATTGTCTAAAAAATATCCTGCAACAGCATATGTCTATCTTTTATGGTTGACTCACAATAACACGTGTAACTCCTGATAGCTTAGCAGTTCGGAGCATTCTGATTATATTTGTTTACTCTTACGTTTATAATACTCTGACTCATCCCTAATTTAAAAAAGTTAACATTATTACCTATTCAATAAAAAAAGAATCATAACACAAAAATAGTGTACAATACACGCCTGAGAACAAAATCTATAGTCTACACTACAGCTCTACACCGAAGAGAAGCGAGGGCGGGCCACTAGTGGAACATAAAATCGATTACCCCAATTTATGCCCCAATGAGTACGTCGCGTTAGCACCCACCAATCCGTACAATCTCTATAGGAAAGTTGTGCCGCAGCAGTGGTGAGATTAATAGACCGATTGAGGATGAAACAAAAGAATAATTTTCAGTATTATTAACACAACAATGACTAACGCTGAATCCAACTGATTCATAAACCTCATCAGTCACATTTTATCGACAGCCAAAGATAAGATTACTTACATGGAATAATGTAGATATAAGTCGTGGCACGGATATTGAGTCGCAATTCTAACAAAGAAAATTCAATCGTGTTTAGTTTAGGCTGGAATCTTTTATAAGTTTGTCTAAAATGAGTAAATATCCTCCGCCGCCGGGCTCTATGTCCGGGAATAACCCACCGCCATATTACGCCGTTCCCCACTGGCCACCGCATCCGTCCCATCCCCCACACTATCCTCCGCCGGACCCGAACCACCCTCACCCCCCTGGATACCCTTACTACATGCCGGGCACTGTGATGATTCCAGTACCCCTGGGAGCATACCCGCTTCCGGCCAACGATCCACCACCACAGCCCACATACGTCACCAACTATATCTACAATGGCGAACCAAGCAGCGGCCCTCCAGTGGAAAGCCAAGTCCATGTCGTAGAATCATCGGGAGATTTCGATTGGATACCAACGACAGCGACCACAGCTCACAACTTGTCTGGCAAAGCTGTTCTCGGAGGGCGGGAAGGGTGGGACGGGAGTCCTCTATGGGTGATCAGAGCGTGGCATTGCGGTGACCTGATCCCCGGGAAGCTGTCCGTGAGGCACAACACCGCGTCAGTGATGTACAATGGGAAAGAGATTTCCGTCCAAAACATCGAAGTCCTGTGTGCGAAGCCTGAAAACTTGAGGTGGGTGCCTGCCTCTAACGGGAACATACCTCCTGGAGCAATCGCTGGTGGTCGCACGGCCAATGGTGAAACCCTGTACGTGGGCAGAGCTAGATACCAGTTGTCTATTACACCTGGCAAAGTGCACCCGAGTCACAAGAGCTGCTACATTGGATTTGGAGGCAACGAAGTCTCCGTTAACGTATACGATGTTTTGTCAAGGATTTAGAAGTTGTCTTTGCAGTGTAGCAGTGTTATGGACTCGTTAAGATTGGGAACTAAGTGAAATTGTGGATTGGTGCCGTGGGTGGTTAAGGAATCAAGTGGACATTTGAATAATAGCATACTGTCTGTAAATTTTCCATTAAATAAATAAATACTAAAAAGAAAACATAAAGAAATAATTTAACAATTTGTTCCTGTGAGAATGTGAGACTTCAACTTGGGTAGCATTCGGGTAAGAACTCTAAAGAAGATAAATGTTCCTCCTATCCCGAGTGTTATACAGGGTGTTACAGAATTCCGAAATAAAAATTTGTAGGAATCTGAGCGGGGCGCAGGGGCGCCTGGGGGAGAGAGGGGGGTCTGTTTAGATAGTAGTAATCGTACGCATTTATAGGGTTGTTGTCATAGGCAGGTGTGAAACGATATTTTTATTAATTTAATCAGAAAATAAAAGTGGTCTGAAAGGCGTCAAACTTTTGTAGGTAATTCTATACAAGGAACACAACCAAACCCTAAAGTTTTATTTCGGACTTTTGTCACACCCTGTATAAAGAAAAAGAATAGGGAAAATCTTTAAAAAGACGTTGAAAAAGTATTTTTGTAGCATATTATGCGACAACACTGCGAATGGTAAATTGAAAATTTGTAGTTTTCTTATCGCGTTATTTTTATCGTGTACATGCTGATAAATAATATACACGTCGGACTGCTGATTCCATTTGTTTTCATTTCACAATATTTAACACGAGTAACAACTTTTGTTGTTTTTTGTAACCTTTTCTATGAAATAGGTCATCAACATGATCATCATCATCATCATCAACAGCCTATCCTAGTCCACTGCTGGACATAGGCCTCTCCAAATGCATGCCACTCAGATCGATCTTGGGCTACTCACATCCAGCTCCTGCCAGCCACCTTGCGCAAATCGTCACTCCATCGTGCCTGAGGACGTCCTACACTACGTTTGCCTAGACGCGGTCTCCACTCCAGAACTCGTCTACCCCAACGGTTATCGGTTCTTCGGCAAATATGGCCAGCCCGCTGCCACTTCAACTTGCTTATCCGGTGGGCTATGTCGATAACTTAGGTTCTATTTCGGATTACCTCATTTCTGATGCGATCCTTCAGAGAAACGCCGAGCATAGCCCTTTCCATAGCGCGCTGAGCGACTTTGAACTTGTGGAGCAGCCGTACCGTCAGTGTCCACATCCCGGCTCCGTATGTCATCACAGGTAGGACGCACTTATTGAAGACTTTCGCCTTTAGGCACTGTGGGATCGACGATGTCAGGACTTGACGTAGCTGCCCAAACGGTGCCCAACCTAGCTAAATTCTTCTATTCACCTCGTCCTCAAAGTTGTTTCTACCTAACTGCAATGTCTGTCGGGCAGACATTTAGAGTTGGTACCTACATGATCATATAGCTCATTATTTCCACTGGGGCACAAGCTTTACTTATGCATGGCATAGGGCCATCACCCATCACGCGGTTTCAGTGCGGATTCGTGGGTGCTAACGACTGCAGATTAAGCCTTGACCGAAAGCTGAACTTTGCTGGTGATGGATTCGTATACACCCGGGCGATCTTCTTGAGCACCTACTATAGACAAGGTAGCCTGCGCAGTAGCGATTTCACATACAAGAACGTTTACTGCGCAATTTTATTTGTCTCTGGTTTTGCTCAAAAAATATTCCGTTACCTATAACAAAAAGCCTAATATAGCTATAATCTAATTTTATCTGATGGAGGATTGTGAGATTTATCATCATTATCAACAGCCTATTAATGTCCCCACTGCTGAAGCACAGGCCTTCCCTATGGATAGAATAGGGAGATTGGACCGTGACACACGACGCGGGCCCTGTGCGGATTGGCGGGTGCTATCGACTGCAGGTGCAGCCGGGACCAACGGCTTAACGTGCCTTCCGAAGCACGGAGGAACTCGAGATAGAAGATTTTTGGTCACCCATCCATTGACCGACCATTGCGAAAGTTGCTTAACTTCAACAATCGCAGCCGAACGCGCTAACCACCTGCGCCGTCGAGCTCCTCGGTCGAGAGATTTATTATAATTTAGTTTAAAAGTTTATTTGTAGTAGTGTAGTGTTAGTAAAAATAAAGTTTATTTGGAGAAGAAGTGCAGAAACCATTTTTTTTATATAAAGGTAATCCGCAAAGCTCGTATAAAAGAATCTCTTATCTAATAGACAAGTCCGTCCGTCCGTCCGTGGTGCTGTTTCAGCGGCCAAACCGTAAGAGATAGATATAGAGAATGTTTAAGTTATAAGTTAAGAATAGTCTGATAAGACTACAAACCGGATGTGAGTAACGTAGCACTTTCGGTTTTCGAGAAATCACGTGATTTCTATTTCAAACGAAACCACACAAAATCTCCGAAGTTCTCAATTAATTAAATACATTTTTTTTTTGGTGAACATTTGGTTCACTGGTTTGCTAGTTTTATATAATTCTTGTTGTTTCGGATCGTTTTAAGGCTTCCCGAATAGGGGTACAGTAAACGAAATTCTATTTAGTCCGTCAGTTAGATGATCAGAAAATAATGGACACGTATTTTTTCTTTGGGCAATCAACCAAAAAATGACAAAGTCATAGTGCGTCAAAGTTTGGGAGTACGGGCTCGTGACGTTCACTTTTGAGTGAATTTTCACTTATAAGTGTACTCAAACGTGACGTCATGCGACTTTTCAAATCAATATATCTGTGCAATGTTTATATTATGTGAAAAAGAAAAAATACGTGTTCAATACTTTTTGATAATCTACCTGATAAACGAAGAAAAAAAATTAGTCATCATCCCTATTGATCACGTGTTTGAGCACGCTCAATAACCATTTCGACGAGTGTTTTAACAAACACTTTGTCGGTGAGCGAAATATGTTTACGTAAAAGGCAAGTTTTCATAAACCTTATCGTGTTTCATTAGCGATTGTTTACTCTGGTTCATATGAACAGCGAATGGCAGCGAAACAGTGTGACCAGATTAAATTTTACGAAAATACCGAGGCACCTCAAAAAAATACTGAAATATACCGACTTACATAGGACAGATATACCAATAAAAATACTGATTTTCTTAACACGTTTTATTTATTCATAGGTACAATAAACATCCTTTTCGAAGGATTAAAATTTACACAACCTCCTTTATTTCTTCACGCTCTATCTAATAGTGCAAACCGCATTAAAATCGGTCCAGCAGTTGTAAAGTTTTAGGCGAACATACATTCTGCAAGTCTGATTAATACTATGTATTGATTGATAATTGTATATGTAGTATTACAATACTACAACGCCGACAACGGCCATCTTTCTTGTCATATCTGTAACTTACTCATAAATAACATGTATAAGTATAGGTAAACTAAATCCGGGGAAGTCCCCAATGTTCGCGTTTCGGGGAATTCCGCAAACATTGTCGCAAAGACGATCACTCACTACGGTGTTGCCATAACCTCTACCAAAATATACCCAAAAATACTGACTGCCAGCAATATACCTGAAAATATACTGATGTTCGGAAAAATCAATGAAATGTACTGAAAAGGTATTAAAATACTGAATCTGGTCACACTGCAGCGAAATCTGGACGTTACAGTTCTAGGCGTAGGACAATAATGTCGGCATTGTTTACCTCTGGGGATTGGTGTAATAGAATATGACGTCACGCCACCGGTACGGTCGCCGACGGCGGAGTTTGCTAACAATCCTGAACAAACTTGTGTAATGAGCTCCTATATCACACGCTATTAATTCTCTCGGAACCACTTATGCTGGTAGCGTGCGAGATGTTGATCGTTCGATATTTATCTATTTACTTTGCTAAAATAATGTCAAAATGTTTTGACTTAAAAGTGTATAGAATTTAAAATTTTAAATGTAAAGTAAATTTTATTAGAATAAAGATATCTTCAGATTTATAAAGTATTTTAAACAGCATGCTGACATTGACCACTAGATATATTAAGTAGGTACTTAAAATGATGGAACTATGATCTTATATATAAAATTCTCGTGTCACAATGTTCGTTACCATACTCCTCCGAAACGGCCTGACCGATTTTTTATGAAATTTTATATGCATATTTAGTAGGTCTGAGAATCGGCTTTTATCTATTTTTAATACCCCTAAGTGATAAGTGTTGTCAACACCTTAAACTATTTCTTATTTTTTAGTCATTTTTTTAATGTGGCATTAAAAATACATACAACCCTAAATTTTGCACCCTTCTATCACAAACCCCTATTTTAATGGCGGTACGAAGTTCGCTGTGTCAGCTAGTTTGCTATAAAATAGTTTTTTTAGTGTCTACGCAAGTCAATATTTTTTTTTATATAATAAGCAAAAATCGATACTAACTTTGTAAGTTTCAAAATATCATTTGTTTGTTACGACAGAACGGTTAATTTAGTGTTGGTAATAATGTTCTAACAAACATCTGCGTAAAACTTTAGTCAATTATTGTGTTACATTTATCTCTTAAGCGGTGTTTCACATCCGATTTAAGTGTTAAAATTCCGTATGGATACAGACAAAGCCGTATATATGGCAACACTGGTAGATCCCATTAATGACAGTCGTTGGTGAAATCACGAGACAGCACACACTAAAATGCTTCTGTAGCCCTATCATAGTTTTCGTAATAGGGGTGATGACGGGGTACAGTAAACGAAATTCTATTTAGTCCGTCAGTTAGATGATCAAAAAATAATGGACACGTATTTTTTCTTCGGGTAATCAACCAAAAAATGACAAAGTTATAGCGCGTCATAGTTTGGGAGTAGGGGCTCTTGACGTCACTTTTGAGTGAATTTTCACTTATGAGCGTACTCAAACGTGACGTCATGCGACTTTTCAAATCAATATATCTCTGCAATGTTTATATTATGTGAAAAAAGAAAAAATACGTGTCCAATACTTTATGATAATCTACCTGATAAACGAAGAAAAAAAAAATAGTCATCATCCCTATTGTAAATTATGTTTCTATGTCCATTTTGGTGAAAAGTAACCAAATTTAAACACTGTTTATTTGTATTGAAACGAAAACAATAAAATCAGTACCCTTAGTACGAGTGCGAGCTCACGAAAACAATCATAGTTTTCGTAATTGTAAAACTCGTACTCGAGGAGCTCGACGGCTGCGGTTGTTGAAGTTGAGCAACTTTCGCAGTGGTCGGTCACTGGATGGGTGACCAAAAAATTTACTATCTCGAGCTCCTCCGTGCTTCGGAAGGCACGTTAAGCTGTTGGTCCCGGCTGTATCTGCAGTTGTTAGCACCCGCCAACCCACACTGGGCCCGCGTGGTGGGTCATGGCCCAATCTCCCTAATCCATCCATAGGGAAGGCCTGTGCCCCAGCAGTGGGGACATTAATAAGCTGATGATGATGATGATCACTTGGTATCGGCGAGCAATGTCTTCTGACAAAGCGCTTTTTATACTTGTACCACAATTGCCGGGGGTTGGAGAGTCCGCAGGTGCTTATCATAATCGCAAAGAGCTCTCTCAACGTAGTCGCTGACCGGCACAACATTGCGCACTCCATCGTTGCGTCCCAGTGGTCGTCGTCTTCAATCAGCTTCATCGCCTCACATGCTTCTTGAAAAGTGGCCTTTTCCTGCCCATCGACGATTTTGAAAAACTCGTACTAAGGGTACAGGCCATGCACTTACAACACCTTGATATTCGAACGTTTCCAGCATACGAGTTGCTGACAAAAGGATAAGCCCGTATTAACAGCAGCCAAAGTATCCGTAGACACAAATACAAGCGGTATTCGGTAGGGGGTCTAACCGACACTTGTGGGTATAACTCGAGCCAATTATGAACTAACCTCCGATTGCTGAGGTAGTGTTTGACATTGCAAGTACTTACAGAACTATAAACCACTTATTGATAAACATGGAATAAGATTAGACTAGTTACGCCTAGGGATGTCGAAAGTTGAAAAAAATATCGATATATCGATACATCGCTCTTATAAAAAATATCAATATCGGCTTCGATATATATCGCGAAAAAAACATCGATATATCGGACCAATTTTCCCAAAAATATCGTACAGTAGCTCACGAAATATGACACGCGGAATAATAATGCAACGAAAATTATCTCCCTAAAAATAGACCCTATTTTCGAATGATGACATAGACAATACTAAATACAGCACAGATCATAGATATGTTGAATATCATTAATCTGAGATCCAGTTACGATTTTTCCAGATACGAATTTAGTTAGATCGTGATATGCCGCTAATAATTAAAAAAATATCGTTTTTGATACGAATTTCCATATTGGTTATTTTGTATCGATGTATCGATATATCGAATCAAAATATATCGGCAAAAATATCGAACAAAAAATATCGATATATCGATACATCGATATACGAACGCAGGCAAAACATGGAGTAACAAAGCCATGTTAATTCTGCGTTTTTGATAAGGAGGTTTTGTTACTATCTCAAAAAAACACTTTCATTTATTTTATTTATTTATTTATATCAAATACTTATATCTATTATTACAGGTATATACCCAAGGCACTAGATACATCCATTTAAGAGATACATTATAATACACATTAACATTACATTGCAAAAAATAATAATTTGAAACCGATAATAATCCACTCAGCTAGTTTTGTAAATTCAAAACGAATAAGTCCATCTTTTCATTAATGAGGGCTATCGCGTCTGAAACCGCCGCTAGAGGCGCTTGTGTTGCGTGAGGTCTCCGAAATGTCAAATGTTATAGCTTGCGGGTTGACTACGCGGTTTTTTTCTAATTAAAATAATAGTTGTGAATATTTGGTAATAAATCAGACTTATTATGGCAAATATGAGTTACGTGTCAATGATTGTCAGTTATTTAAAAGCGGAGCTAAGAAAAAATATTGTCCTTCTTTTTTCCGAACAAAACGGGACTGCGCAACACTGTGGCATGGGCGATTATGTTTAAGATTTTTTTTTTTTTTTGTTTCCTCCCAGGCCTGGGAGAGGGTGAGAAATCCTCATGGATACCCTACAGCCGGCTGTAAGGTTATGTCAGACTCCTACTGACTAAAAAACACCCTTTATTCATGCTTATGGCCAGAAGGGCCTTACAAGCTTCATCTGAAGCGATCACCCCCCGAGATGGGGATGATGCGGCGCTGCGTTAGTTTAAACTAGTGCATAGTTTAAAATAACGCAAAATGCGCTTAGAGGACAAGTGCACTCAGATGTGCACTTGAAACGGGAGGGGACTGAGAGGAATCGAACCTCTCTGTGTCGGGGGGGCGGGGGGGACTCATCGCGGGTGTTGGATCCTCAGCGGCCAAGAGGGCCGCGAGATCGCGCGTGAGTTTATTGTGTGTGGCTGTGAGTGCGTGTTTGGGCCTGCGGGGCCTGAATCGAGATGGAGTGTGTGGAGCGTTTATGTTTAAGATACCATTCTTTTGTATTAAAATGTAAACTTTGATATCACGAGCGTGTTTACTAACTTTAAAAGTTACACTTCAGGACCTCACTCAACAGTGGCGCCATCTGGTGAGACAAAAAACGATAGCCCTCATTCTGTTGACTGTGCGAAATGCAGGAATCAGTGGAGCCTCACTCAATAATTTAGTGCGTCCAGTAGAAATTACCAAGAGGCCCGGCCACCGTCGACGCCAAATGTATTAATTTGAAACACTAAAACTCTTCTTACCCCGAAGCACCTAAAAAAATAGCTTAAATTCTCTCCGAACCCTAAGCTGACTATATCCCACCATACCAAGAACAAATAATGTAGGATATTGTAATGGATAAAAGGGATACACTCCATATAGTTTTAAATACATGTATCTTACAAAGGACATTGTTCAGGGTCCATACATAGTTAGCCTAAGAACCAACAATAATGAAATATTATTTTCTAGGTTCAAAATCGTAAGTAAATGACTGTAAAAACAAAGATTATTGACGGACACTTCTGAGAACTTAAATTATTAGGAAAACTAAAATTTTTTTGAGGTTATGTTTAATATTCAATGAAACATAGGTCAACCTATGAATTTAGTATGAACTCAGTATGAAGTGAATTAATATTACAACTAATTCATTTTATTCGGTGCGATTTTACAGAATAACTATTAGGAAAAACTTGTTTAGGTAGGAAAGTACCAGCATTAGGAAGAAAGAGTGTTTTGTTTGCAGCGCTGCCATAGATTATACACAAACAATGGTATTTATTGTCTCAGATTATTTTTTAACTTTTTAATATAGCTTACTTAACTGGAAGTGTCCGTCACAATCTAAATACTGATAATTATCGCAAAATATACACTAAGAATTATCATAAATGCCAAATTGGTGTTGGTTCTTAGGCCAATTTTAACATTGTCCTTTATTCTGCACTCTCTCTAGCATAATATGTTAGTTATGTTAGCATTTGACGACCTCCGTGGCCGAGTGGTTTGTACGCCGGGTTTCATGGTGTCGCCGACTCGAGAGGTCCCGGGTTCGAATCCCGGTGGGGGCAAATGTTTGTGTGATGAATACGAGCATTTGTACTCCAGTCATGGATGTTTAATATGTATTTTCTATATAAATATACTTACATATGTACAGTATATGTATTCTATCCGTTACCCCTAGTATCCCATAACACAAGCCTTATAGTGCTAGGGGCTAGGCTAATTGGTGTGTGATGTAAAAAAAAAATAAAAAGAAAAAAAAAGCATGGGGGGTTCAGTGGTAGAAAGCTCGCCTGCTACGCGGACGGCCCAGGTTTGAATTCCCGCCGAGTAAGGAGTTTTTATTAAGGATTTTTATCACCCTCTGGCCAGAATCTGCAATACCTATAACGATATTAACACAAGATCACCCAACTTGGACATTTTTGACGTTTCGCAGAAAAACTTTAAAGCAACATTGTTTGAGCTGCTCGATTCTCATTGATTCTCATTAATTATCATTAATTCCGCATTATTATGGTTATTATTATTATTTTTTGTATCAATTCGACATTAAATTATTATTATTTGCATCAATTTGACATACATTTTTAATTTTAAATCAAACATTGATTATTAATTGCACTATTTTGTATTGATTATTCATTGATTTATTGATTATTAATTCCATATATTATTATTGATTTTTAATTACATTGTACTTTTCTGAATTGAATGTTGTGTGTGCTTGTAAAGGCTTGCATATATGTCTTAGAATAAGTATTATTATTATTTTTTTAATGTTTTTATATGTTTAGCTGTAAGTACACCTATTAAATAAATAAATAAATAAGTTACACTTGGGTCGTGGTTTCGTAAACCCACACCAATTTTGTTTTTGATTACTTTGATTTGAGTTTTATTTTTAAGTGGCAAACAAGCGTATGGCACCTAGTTAGGTGGTGCCTAGTCTACCACCAACAGCCTATTAATGTCCCCACTGCTGGGGCACAGGCCTTTACCAAGGATGAAATAGGGAGATTGGGCCATGACCCAGCTCGCGACCCAGTGCGGATTGGCGGGTGCTAACGATTGCAGATGCAGCTGGGACCGACGGCTTAACGTGCTTTCCGAAGCACGGAGGAACTTAAGATAGTATATTTTTGGTCACCCATCCAATGACCGACCATCGCGAAAGTTGCTTAACTTCAACGATCAAACAATCAAAGTCTCAAAATTACTTCAATATGATATGATTCATGAAATCATCTTTCATTACGACGACCTCCGTGGCCGAGTGGTTTGTACGCCGGGTTTCATGGTGTCGCCGACTCGAGAGGTCCCGGGTTCGAATCCCGGTGGGGGCAGATATTTGTGTGATGAACACGAGCATTTGTACTCCAGTCATGGATGTTTAAATGTGTATTTCTATATAAATATACTTATATATGTAAAGTATGTGTATTCTATCCGTTATCCTAGTATCCCGTAACACAAGCCTTACAGTGCTTACTTTGGGGCTAGGCTAATTGGTGTGAGTGTTGGATTTTTTTTTTTTATTTTTTTTTTATGAAAAAATATCATTAATCAATAAATTGCTCACCTGCATTTTGATTTCCGTGTCATAAAGGATGGCCCGAGGAGCTCGGTGGCGCGAGTGGTCAGCGCGTTCGGCTGCGATCGTTGAAGTTAAGCAACTTTCGTAGTTGTCGGTCATTGGATGGGTGACCAAAAATCTTCTATCTCGAGTTCCTCCGTGCTTCGGAAGGTACGTTAAGCCGTTGGTCCCGGCTGCATATGCAGTCGTTAGCACCCGCCAATCCGCACTGTGCCCGCGTTTTGTGTCATGGCCCAATCTCCCTATTCCATCCATAGGGAAGGCCTGTGCCCCAACTGTGGGGACATTAATAGGCTGATGATGACAGGATGGCCCCTTTCCGAGCGAATATTTTGTCGTCACTAATATTTGCATGTCGACCGTTCAACTCAACATGCTACTCACAGTACTTAATAAAGGCGATGAGCTAATAAAGCCAATTAAAAGATGTCCAGAGATCAAACGAAGAATTCACGAGCTCAGTCGCAGTTTCGCATTGACCGAACTGAAGCTGTTTTTCTCAAGTGCAAAGTGAGGTGTGTTTTAAGAACTAAGAAATGAATTTTCCAAAAGTGTTTTCCTAATTAATCAGTAATGAAGAGTGATCTATAAAATAATATTAAAAATAGTAGATTTAATATTTAAATCGAGATTTTCTGCCTTGCCTAATTAGTTGGCGTTCGCATTTATTTAGCCAAGTTGGACAATTTCATGTTTATCCTAAAATAAATCAAGTAACTGGATACTTGAATCATGAGTCCGAGAACTTAATATTTAATTTAGCGAAAAGTTAAGAGTAAAAATAATCTGATTCGGACTTAGTTTAGTCTACTAAGGCAAAGAATCTATTCAATTTGTACCTCAAGTATTATCATGCATTTGTAGTGTAGAAAAATACGCCGATTTCATCAAAATATGAATGGAGTTTATTATTCATATGGACCAAATGAATTGAATCAATATACGTAATTGGAAATTAGCTTAATTCACATTAAATAATATAATTACTATATATATAAATACTAGAACAATAAAACTAAAAACCTTAAAAATAAAATTAATAACTAAAATATATTATTAAAAAGAGTCCCTTTAGCCAAGGATCCGAAGATACATGGCTAGACTAATTCTTTGTCCGAGGTAGCTGCCAGCTCTTCGGTCTCCTGTGATGTCGACTAACCTTTCTGCTATTTCCTTAAATAGCCTTAAATGGACCAAATAAAAATGTCTTTTAAACATTTAAATCAATGGCAATACAGATAATATATTATGGCAACATAAATGTGTTAACCCCTCATCTGTGTAATTGGATGATTTCTGCCAAGAGTTGAGAAAATTATTTTTTATTTTTATAATTTTGCTTTTTATCATATTTAGTAATGGTTTTTAATAAGTTTTACCTAAGATATAAATGAAGCCTGGATGTTCAAAAGAACTCGAATAATAAGAGGGAAATTGGCCGGTTTTTTTTCCGGCCGTGAAAAACAACGTAGACCCGGTAACAATTAGCTAACGAAATCACGTGATTCTTGATACAACCAATAACAAATAACACAATCAAGGAAATAAATTGAAACCAATAGCTGTCATCCGTCAATCAATGACAAATTGCGTCTAAGTAATATCGTTGGTTTACTTGCAGATTTCTTCTCATTTTCACTCAGATTTATAGCAATTTTATTGATTTCGATGAGAAAGAGACTCGCTCTTTAAGTATAAATTTAGATGTTTTTTGAGATAATTTGTACAAAGGTACAAAATTGACCAAAAATCGAAAGTCTAACAAACTTGCTCAAGTTGAAACCAATATGTGATAATGTTATTGTGCGTTACCATCTAATTGCTCAGAACAGTTCTGAGCAAGCAAATATTTTTTCGCTCGGTAAATGGAATGCTCAGACTCAGAATCAGAATCAAACTGAGAAAAGGAGCATTTATATTTATTTTTAATTTTTTAAGCATTTAACTGCTTGATGTTTAGATCTAAAGAAAATTTTACTAGAAAAAATTCCACGTGGACCAGACAGCACACGGGACTCGCACCCTTCGCTATCAGGGCGTATGCTACTGCGGCCCTGATGGTCGTGACGAATTTTCTCTAGCTCTCTCTATGCTGCAAGGCAGCGCCTTATCTTCGCATTGTAGGTAACCCACGATGTCAAATGAATTTATATATGAATTAATTAATACCTTTACAAGTATTCAACATTTGAAAGAAGAAATAGCGATTATAGTTATATTTTTGGACTTTTTAAGCATTTAACTGCTTGATGGTTAAATCTAAAGATTTTTTTTTAAAGAAAGAGAGCATTTGTACCCTGAATTCAGTCATATATCGCTGTACGGACTCCTTCGCTCGCTCTGATGTTAGCATTTACCGAGCGAGCATATATTCGCCCGTTCAGAACTCTGTAAAATAAAATTTCACTTCCGATTTCGGTAGCTGCCATTTGAGACATCAGGTTGAGATACATTACGCCATTACACAGAAAAATATCGCTGTCTGTAGAAGCAGCCAGTATTCGATGTTTGACATTTCTCAGAAATCGGAATAAATGAGATTGCATGTTACAGAATACTTATGCTGAAGCTTCAGTAGGAACGCTGCATTAGATAAGTCAACTCCATGTTTTGATCGTTTTTTGTTTAAATTAATCTTATAATTAATTTGTTAATCAAATACTGAAACACGGTTATGTTTTGGATTTTGTCTAAGACTTACTGGGGTTTGACTAACCAACCAAATTTGATCGTTTTTTGTTGAAATTAATTTTGTTATTAATTTGTTAATCAAATACTGAAACACGGTTACGGTTGGGATTTTGTCTAAGACTTACTGGGGTTAGACTAACCAACCAAATTTGATCGTTTTTTGTTGAAATTAATTTTATTATTAATTTGTTAATCAAATACTGAAACACGGTTATGGTTTGGATTTTGTCTAAGATTTACTGGGGTTTGACTAACCAACTAAATTTGATCGTTTTTTGTTGAAATTAATTTTGTTATTAATTTGTTAATCAAATGCTGAAACACGGTTATGGTTTGGATTTTGTCTAAGACTTACTGGGGTTAGACTAACCAACCTGGCAGTGCTGGAACATAAACTTTTGCCACTGCCATACTTATATCTATAGTTTAAAGAGATAAACCAAATATTTGGTATAAATAGTTATATTATCATAAATCTCGAAAAATGTTCTCGAAACTGGAAGATATGGAAGTGCAACATATCGTGGAGTTACTAAGAAACAACCAGCTGGAGGAGTTCGTGGATTTTGTGCGGGACAGACAAATGGACGGGAGAAAAATATTAGTAAGCATGTCATTTATAGAGGTGTATCATCATCATCATCATCATCGTCATCATCATCATCATCATCATCATCATCATCATCATCATCATCATCATCATCATCATCATCATCATCATCATCATCATCATCATCATCATCATCATCATCATCATCATCATCATCATCATCATCATCATCATCATCATCATCATCATCATCATCATCATCATCATCATCATCATCATCATCATCATCATCATCATCATCATCATCATCATCATCATCATCATCATCATCATCATCATCATCATCATCATCATCATCATCATCATCATCATCATCATCATCATCATCATCATCATCATCATCATCATCATCATCATCATCATCATCATCATCATCATCATCATCATCATTATCATTATCATTATCATCATCATCATCATCATCATCATCAACAGCCTATCCTAGTCCACTGCTGGACATACTCCTCTCCAATTGCACGCCGCACGCAGATCGATTTTGGGCTACTCGCATCCAGCTCCTGCCAGCCACCTTGCGCAAATCGTCACTCCATCGTGCCTGAGGACGTCCCAGACGCGGTCTCCACTCCAGAACTCGTCTACCCCAACGGTTATCGGTTCTTCGGTAAATATGGCCAGCCCACTGCCTCTTTAGCTTACTAATCCGGTGGGCTATGTCGATAACTCTGGTTCTCTGTCGGATTACCTCATTTCTGATGCGATCCTTCAGAGAAACGCCGAGCATAACCCTTTCCATAGCGCGCTGAGCGACTTTGAACTTTTACTAGATGTGTATGTTTTAGCATATATTTGAGCATTAATAATACTTTTGGAAGTGAACTGAAAGAAAATATTAAAATGCTCTAGCTTTTAATTTCACTATGTAGATCGTAAAATAATAATAAAAATGGGTGCGTGTACTTATGTAGGCGCGTGAGAAGTTATCCTTCTTTGGCATCGTTTAAAATTAGTTTTTAATTGCATGCAAATAATTAATTACAATAAATTAATAAAAAGTCTGGAAAAGGACACAGTAAATAAAGTTCAGTTTTAATTTGAAAAAATAAATAAATAATCAAAATATTCAATTAAAATCGCTACTGAATATAATTTATTAGAACATATGTGATTTGCACTTGTATGAAACTCAAACACGTATTCCGAATATACAAACTAAAACATGTGGATAAATATTATAAATATGAATACCTATAACTGTTACTTTATTACAAAAAATAAAGATGTGGTTTTTGGTTCTACTACACCAATGGTCAAGAGATGGCGCTGTAGTCTCCTGAATCGCGCTTTGGTTCCGTTGTTCCAGATTAATAAATACTTTTGATAGGCCTTCACAATGCAGTCGTTAGCACCCACTAAATAGAGATTCTGTTTATTTTGTTGGTAGATTTTCTTAATGTGCGGTAAACACAAAAGTAACAGAGCGACCAACCTCATGCTGATAAAATTTTGTGTTACAGTGATGCGCGCGCATCTTAAAATTTCACTCTCATCATTTTTTCATAACGCGCCTAAAGAAGTATAACTTCAATAATAAAAATCTTTATTTGCAATTAAATAGTTTGTACAGAACAATGTAAAACGTTAATAACTACATTAGTGAGAGACTGTGTCGCAGTTATTAGCGCCCCACCTCGAACATGATAACTAGTAACAATAAACACTAAAAAAACTAACTGTAACATTTATAAAAACGTTTTGTGTGTGTGTGTGTGTGTGTGTGTGTGTGTGTGTGTGTGTGTGTGTGTGTGTCTAGTGTAAAAGGCTTTCAACAAAAAGAGCGGTGTCTATGCCCCAGTCATTAAGTTATTTTTTTTATGTTGAACTGGTGGAAAACAATCATATGGCCCGCCTGATGGTGAACGGCCAACATCCATCTATATATTTATAAAACTCAAAGGTGACTGACTGACATAGTGATCTATCAACGCACAGCCCAAACCACTGGACGGATCGGGCTGAAATTTGCCATGCAGGTAGGTGTTATGACGTAGGCATCCGCTAAGAAAGGATTTTGATCAATTCTACCCCCAAGGGGATAAAATAGGGAATGAAAGTTTGTATGAAACTTTGTCAATTTTAAACCGATCGGGCTGAGACTTTGCATGCAGGTATAAGAAAAATCATAGATGAGTGTCATTGTGTATAATACAAGCCTGAGAACAAAAACTGTAGTCTACACTTCAGCTCTACACCGAAGCGAAGCGAGGGCGGGCCGCTAGTAGCTTATAAAACGCTTGCGACACAGGTCGCGGCATGTATCTCTATCGCTGAACAAAACGCGGAGGGGATAGCTCCGCATGGGTACGACAGGAGAGCCAATCGGTGTAACGCACACCCACCCTCGCACCTCTGTTCCCCCCAGGACATCAAACGCAGGCTTGCGCTTTCACGGCAAAAACATCGCCATTCCTTCCCCTTCCCTCTCTCCAGGGCACAACACTACCGCTACAGAGCAACATTTCCATGCTCGGTATAGAAGTTCGCTCAGACCTGAATCCAAAGGACTACATCGAAACCGTGAACAAAACAGCTTCACGCAAACTCGGAGTCCTGAACAAGGTGCGGCGTTTTTTCACGCCCGATCAACTGTGCTTGTTGTACAAAACGCAAGTGCGGTCCTGCGTGGAATATTGCTCGCACCTCTGGGATGGCTCCGCCAAGTACTTGCTCGATGCTTTGGATAGGTTACAGCGGCGCGCGATCCCAATCATAGGCGATGAGGAGGTGACCAAACACCTTGAGCCTCGTCTTACTGTGGCCACAATTCCAACGCGTACAAAGAAATTTGGTGACTCATTTCTTTGTCGCACTATCCGTAAATGGAATGCTCTGCCCGCTCACGTGTTCCCTCCCTCTTACAACCTGGGATCCTTTAAAAGAGGCGTGAAGAAGCAACATGCAGGCCGGCGGGGTGAGGATGGCTGGTGTGGCAGGTAGAACTGCTGTTTCAGCTATCTTCGCGTCTGGACTTCACCTTCACTTAACATCAGGTGGGGTGGAGTCATTTGTCGGACCTATCTATAAAAAAAAATCTCAATTTTTACTTCTGCGCAATGACGGTCAGCGCTAGAGTTTCGTGCCGCGACTAGTACCCTGACCCAACCCCGTGGAGTCCCGAAACCTTTCTCACAGACAGACACAACACCACCAATAGTATTACTTAACTGATTGTCCTCAACTTCTTAGTGAAATTAGTTTTAATATACCACGACCAAATTTCAGACCAGCTAACTATCTCTTATCTATTAGACAAGTCCGTCCGTCCGTCCGTCTGTCTGTGGTTCTGTTTCAGCGGCCAAACCGTAAGAGATAGATAAAGAGAATATTTAAGTTAGAAGTTAAGAATAGTCTGATAAGACTACAAACCGGATTTAAGTAACGTAGCACTTCCGGTTTTCTAGAAATCAGGTTTTGGTGAACATTTGGTTCACTGGTTTGCTAGTAAATACATAATTACTATATATAAATACTAGAACAATAAAACTAAAAACCTTAAAAATAAAATTAATAACTAAAATATATTATTAAAAAGAGTCCATTTAGGCAAGGATCCGAAGATACTGGCAGCGTTACCCCTTTGAATGGCTAGACTAATTCTTTGTCCGAGGTAGCTGCCAGCTCTTCGGTCTCCTGTGATGTAGACTAACCTTTTTGCTATTTCCTTAAATAGCCTTATAGCGCTAGGACCCCACGGACCAAGGGTCTCGACACCGAATGGGACAAAATCATATTCGGAGCCTAGACCCCTGTATTTGCTTGCTTTTGCTTTTTCAGCCGCTTCACAAGCCGCACCAGCTCTGTTGCTGGTTCCATGTAGATGGGAAGGGGCCAGCGTGTCTGAACAGGTTGCATCCCATACCAGCACCCGACCCATCTTGCATGGAATCAAACTCATACCGTCTGGTCTCTTGCCATCGTCTCTTGCAATACCAGTCGGCTCAAGTAGATTTGGCACGTTGACAGTGGCAAGGGACCGGCGTATGATATCATTAAGTGCGGCATGAATTATCTTAATATATATAAATTTCGTGTCACAATGTTTGTCCTCAATGGACTCCTAAACCACTGAACCGATTATAATAAAATTCGCACACCATGTGCAGTTCGATCCAACTTGAGAGATAGGATAGTTTAAATCTCAAATTATAGTCGCAATTTTAATTTATTGCAAATTATTACTTTTGGGCGGTACGAAGTTCGCCGAGTCAGCTAGTTAAATTATAAATTATTTAATTTAAAAACTTATTTACTCTAAAGAAAATATAACTAGAAAAAATTCCACGCGGACCAGGCAGCAGACGGGGCTCGAACCCGCACCCTTCGCAATCCGGGCGAATGCACTGACCAATTATGCTACCGCGGCCCTCACGGACCGCGTCGAAATTCTTTCTAGCTATTCTTAAGCTGCAAGGCAGCGCCATCTCTTCGCATTATAGGTAAACCCACAATGTCAAATGAATACTTTTACAAGTATTAAACATTTGAAAGAAGAAATAGCAATTATAGTTATAATTTTTATTATTTTTAAAGCATGTAACTGCTTGATGTTTAAATCTAAAGAAAATATAACTAGAAAAAATTGGTCAGTGCATTCGCCCGGATTGCGAAGGGTGCGGGTTCGAGTCCCGTCTGCCAGGCAGCAGACCAATTTTTTCTAGTTATATTTTCTTTAGATTTAAACATCAAGCAGTTTCATGCTTTAAAAATAATAAAAATTATAACTTATTTACTATTTATACGTCCTTGGTAGGCGTTCATTTGTTCGCTGCGTCATTGATTGCATTTAGGAGGGCTTTGCTATCGAGCATTGATTGTGCAACTTGATTATCATCATCGTCATCATCATCAGCCTATTAATGTCCCCACTGCTGGGGCACAAGCCTTCCCTATGGATGGAATAGGGAGATTGGGCCATGACCCACCACGCGGGCCCAGTGCGGATTGGTGGGTGCTAACGACTGCAAATGCAGCCGGGA